AATCATAATATATTATAATATAATGAAATATATGAAAAAAATGACACATTTTTTTATTATTTATTTATTTATTTATTTATATGTTTATCTATATTGCTGATAAACATCTCCAGATATCGCCCAATACACAATAAGTAATTTAAATCAGAAAACAGTTTATTCAGAGATAATCATCATGTCAAATCTTTTCCAAAAGTCCAACTGTGGCTTTTTTCCTCCTGGCATCAACCAACCACAAGCCCTGATCATCTATATCACTTTCCCCAAACATCTCAGCATCATCTTTATACAATAAAGCATCAGTGTCTCGTCATCCCAGGTCTCCTTGTCTCTTTGTTACTGTATTCTGTTATAGTGATACATTTAATCTTGCCCGTGTCAATCCGGTTGATCAGATCCGCCACATGATCCCGGCAGAAGCATTCAGAGATCAGAATCCCAAAGGAAGTAACCTTGAGTACATCTTGGCTCATAACAACATAACAGTTATTCAAACAGGGCAGTGATACAGAAACAACACACAGGTCTTCATATTGGTTTACACACACGGCACCAACAGAAATGCCCAAAGTCCATCAGCTCCGGCCACGTCTTTCTCGGGACCCTAACAGGGCAGAGGGACTCTCTAACGCCCGAAATAGACCATGTTAAAATGTTTTGTGTCCCGGCAATGCGATCCCAGCTGCCAGTGTGGTGAGAGGGGCTTCTTTGACAAATTCTCCAAGTGACTCCGTGCTGGAACTCAATGACAGCAGCAGAACGACTACAGCAATATAGATGATCAGCGATGGAGTCGATTACAGTAATATAGATGATCAGAGATGGAGTAGATTACAGTAATATAGATGATCAGCGATGGACCCGATTACAGTAATATAGATGATCAGCGATGGAGCCGATTACAGTAATATAGATGATCAGCGATGGAGCCGATTACAGTAATAAAGATGATCAGCGATGGAGCCGATTACAGTAATATAGATGATCAGTGGTGGAGTCGATTACAGTAATATAGATGTTCAGTGATGGAGTCGATTACAGTAATATAGATGATCAGCGATGGAGTCGATTACAGTAATATAGATGATCAGTGGTGGAGTCGATTACAGTAATATAGATGATCAGCGATGGAGTCGATTACAGTAATATAGATGATCAGTGGTGGAGTCGATTACAGTAATATAGATGATCAGCGATGGAGCCGATTACAGTAATATAGATGATCAGCGATGGAGTCGATTACAGTAATATAGATGATCAGCGATGGAGTCGATTACAGTATTATAGATGATCAGCGATGGAGTCGATTACAGTAATATAGATGATCAGTGATGAACCGATTACAGTAATATAGATGATCAGCGATGGAGTCGATTACAGTAATATAGATGATCAGTGATGGAGACGATTACAGTAATATAGATGATCAGCGATGGAGTCGATTACAGTAATATAGATGATCAGCGGTGGAGTCGATTACAGTAATATAGATGATCAGCGATGGAGTCGATTACAGTAATATAGATGATCAGTGGTGGAGTCGATTACAGTAATATAGATGATCAGTGATGAACCGATTACAGTAATATAGATGATCAGCGATGGAGTCGATTACAGTAATATAGATGATCAGTGATGGAGTCGATTACAGTAATATAGATGATCAGCGATGGAGCCGATTACAGTAATATAGATGATCAGCGATGGACCCGATTACAGTAATATAGATGATCAGTGATGGAGTCGATTACAGTAATATAGATGATCAGTGATGGACCCGATTACAGTAATATAGATGATCGGTGATGAAGTCGATTACAGTAATATAGATGATCAGTGATGGAGTCGATTACAGTAATATAGATGATGGAGTCGATTACAGTAATATAGATGATGGAGTCGATTACAGTAATATAGATGATCGGTGATGGAGTCGATTACAGTAATATAGATGATCAGCGATGGAGTCGATTACAGTAGTATAGATGATCAGCGATGGACCCGATTACAGCAAGATAGATGATCAGTGATGGAGCCGATTACAGCAATATAGATGATCAGTGATGGAGCCGATTACAGCAATGATCAGTGATGGAGTCGATTACAGCAATATAGATGATCAGTGATGGAGCCGATTACAGTAATTTAGATGATCAGCGATGGAGCCGATTACAGTAATATAGATGATCAGCGATGGAGCCGATTACAGTAATATAGATGATCAGAGATGGAGCCGATTACAGTAATATAGATGATCAGCGATGGAGCCGATTACAGTAGTAAGATGATCAGCGATGGAGCCGATTACAGTAATATAGATGATCAGCGATGGAGTCGATTACAGTAGTCGATTACAGTAATATAGATGATCAGCGATGGAGCTGATTACAGTAATATAGATGATCAGCGATGGAGTCGATTACAGTAGTCGATTACAGTAATATAGATGATCAGCGATGGAGCTGATTACAGTAATATAGATGATCAGCGATGGAGTCGATTACAGTAGTCGATTACAGTAATATAGATGATCAGCGATGGAGCCGATTACAGTAATATAGATGATTACAGTAATATAGATGATCAGCGATGGAGCCGATTACAGTAATAAAGATGATCAGCGATGGAGCCGATTACAGTAATATAGATGATCAGCGATGGAGTCGATTACAGTAATATAGATGATCAGTGGTGGAGTCGATTACAGTAATATAGATGATCAGTGATGAGCCGATTACAGTAATATAGATGATCAGCGATGGAGTCGATTACAGTAATATAGATGATCAGTGATGGAGTCAATTACAGTAATATAGATGATCAGTGATGGAGTTGATTACAGTAATATAGATGATCAGTGATGGAGTTGATTACAGTAATATAGATGATCAGTGATGGAGTCGATTACAGTAATATAGATGATCAGTGATGGAGTTGATTACAGTAATATAGATGATCAGCGATGGAGTCGATTACAGTAATATAGATGATCAGTGATGGAGTTGATTACAGTAATATAGATGATCAGTGATGGACTTTCACAATTTAACTCATTTATTCCTCAGCTTTTTTTGGAAAACAAGACAAAAATCCTGATTAAATGTTGATTTTAAAACTATGATAAAAAAATAATGATCAAATATTGATAAAAAGAATATTTTAATTATTGATAAAAACAATTATTTATTGTTAATTTTAATCATGATGAAATAATACACAATGAATATTAATGAAAACTTTTTTTTATATTTTTTTATTGTCAATAAAAACTATATAATCAATAACAAAAAAAGGGCGGGGGGAACAAGACACAAATCCTGATTAAATGTTGATTTTAAAACTATAATAAAAAAATAATGACCAAATATTGACAAAAATACTGATTAAATGTTGATTTTAAAACCATGATGAATTTGTGTTGTTTTTAAAACCACAACGAAATAATATTTACTCAATATTTTTTTTTTTTATAACTGAACCATCAGTTGTCTATCACTTATTTTTTTCTGCTGAAGTTTGCTGTAAATAGTAGTGTGTGTCGGAGAGCACGTTCTGGCATCGTGTGCCACACGAGAAAGGAAACCGCGGTTGATATCAGTGTGTCTGGGGTCCGAGGGCCTCTGTCCAAATCGAAATGAAGTGGGGCCCGTCCATTAGCACGTCCTTCAGGGACACGGCGAGGTGTGTGAGTGCGATAGCGCCCGTCACCCGCACCCTCACACTTCCAGCATGCCAGTCTCTGAGAGCCAGTCGCCGCCTGCCCGAAGGGAACGAGACTGGTAAAAGACGGGCACAGACTCGAACCACTGGCGCCACCCGCCTCTCACTACTATTTTCTATGAATATCCGTCACCTTTGGTGCCTATGTTAAAGGTCCCTCTGGACATCACGTCTGAGTTTGAGTTTATAGTCAAGTCACCTTCATTTATATAGCGCTTTTAACAATATAGATTATTTCAAAGCAGCTTTACAGAGATAAAAGGAGATTACAGTAACAGATTGTTTTGGCTTTACAGCAGCTCTAGAATAAAGTCCAGCTAAAGTTAGTTTTGATTGATTCACTTCCGTTGCAAAAATCATTAGTTATTAACTTAGGGTCCGCTTACACGACACCGTTTTAACTGAAAACAGATACTTTTAATGTGTTCTTTTGCATTTAATGTGCTCGAGAATGCTAACTTGGAAATAGGTTCCAAGGTGCAGATGATTTGAATTTTTTTTTTTTATGTTATCATTTCCGTGTAAAATTCAAAAACGTGAATCTGTGAAAACGCTGATGGCATGCATATGCGTATTATGTGTTTAGTCTATAGATATGCGCGTTTGAATATATATGTGCGCAGATGCGTATTCTTTCTTTACAAATTGACCTCACCAAATTACTTTTCTGACCTGCATAATGCAGAATTTAATAACCCTGAAGTAATTATAAACAATTAGATTTCATTAAAGATGACCTGTTATGGTTTTTTCCGTGTTCATCTTTCTTCAGTGTGTAATGTTGCTGTTTGAGCATGAAAAGCTCCAGATCTTCTCTATATCAGTGTCAGTGTTTCTGAACTCCTGAAACGCCTCCATTGTAGTCTTGAGTTTCTCCCGGGAACGAACACGTCACAATATTCCTCATTATAATAATTCATACACAGAATAAAGGGGCGGGGCCTGGTTGAGTCAGTTAGTAGTGTGTTAAACTGGAGGTTATTGTAAAAGGGGCGGGGCATTTCCCAAACACACTCGAAGCGCTCAACCAATCACAACACACTGCTCCAGCCGACCATTCAGAGCACAGTGTGCTTTTCAGAAGGAGGGGCTTCATAGAGACAGGAAGTAAACAGAGCGTTACTGACAGACTGGGAAGAGAGGAGCCGCAACAATGGAGAATATGAGGAGAATAATCAACATTCAAGCAGGAAAACCTGTTCTAGTAGAGCACAAAAACAACATCACTTTGAAATTGAAACATGGCCTCTTTAAGAACTAGTTATTTCTCTTTTCTGCAGCAAATGTCCAGATGGTTTTGAATGTATGAAGACTGGACGAAACCCAAACTACGGCTACACCAGCTTTGACACCTTTGGATGGGCTTTCCTCTCCCTTTTCAGACTCATGACACAAGATTACTGGGAAAACCTCTATCATCATGTCAGTATTCTTCCTGTTCTCTCTCATTACGTGACATTCTGCCGTCAATTGAATGCGGTTTAATGTACAGGTTGTTCAACGTCTGCCATAAGTCCCTGATCTTTCCTCTAATTTACTTAAAGCAATTGAGATGCATTTACACTACCTTTCAAAAGTATTGAAAAGAAAAAAAAAACTTTTATTTAAGGACGCATTAAATTGAGCAAAAGTGGCAGTAAAGACATTTATAATGGTTCAAACGATTTCAAATAAATGCTGTTTTACTCTATTAAAGAATCCTGAAAAATAAAATGTATCATGGTTTCCCCAAAAATATATCACTGAGTGATTTCTGAAGGATCATGTGACACTGAAGACTGGAGTAATGATGCTGAAAATTCAGCTTTGATCACAGGAATAAATTACATTTGAATATATATCGCAGTAAAAGATATTTCTTTTAATGTGTAATAATATTTCTACCATATTACTATATTTTTAATCAAATAAATGCAGCCTTGGTGAGCAGAGGAAACTCTTTCAAAAACATGAAAAACTTCTGAACGGTAGTGAATATGTTAATATATATATACTAATTTTGGCCACAAACCACAAACTTTTGCATGCATTTAGAAATTTTTTTTTTTTATCTATTTTCCTCCATTCACTTTTGGCAGATTTTGGCAATTAAGTTTGTTTTTGGCCAATGCATATTATCTCAAAATGATTGGTTTATCAGCCTGACCAATGCATCTAATTAGGATCTTGTGAAAAGATATTGCACATCTCCAACAACAAATGAAGCGAATGATTGCAGCCACTGTGATTCGATGCCTTTTCTGTGATGCACAGACGCTGCGCTCCGCGGGGAAAGCGTACATGGTGTTTTTTGTGGTGGTGATCTTCCTGGGCTCCTTCTACCTGGTGAATCTGATCCTGGCTGTGGTGGCCATGGCGTACGAGGAGCAGAACCAGGCCACGATCGCAGAAGCCCTGCAGAAAGAGCAGGAGTTTCAGCTCGCCATGGAACAGCTGAAGAAGGAACAGCAGGTACACCATTCACATCAGCTGTTCATTTCTCCATTCACATCCCAAACGAGGGTTCATGAGACGATGGAATGCTAATAATACGCTGATTTCATGCAGCCGCCATTTTGAAATGGCTCCGGTGGGAAGAAAACCGGAAGTGTCGCTTTTAATCATAGGAGAGTCGCGAATGCGATGGCGTATTGTTGTGTTTAATGTAGAAATAAGTTATTCTAAAAATGTACATACATTTCTTTCATACTTTAGACTATATACAGTGAAATTCATTTATAAATATTTTTTTTATTTATATATATATATATAATTCAGAACGTAAAAAAAGAAGCAGGAACGAACTATATACATATCCTATATTGGATATTAACATCCAATAGTGTAAACCGCGGCAGCAGCTTCAGGTTGGTAGTCCAAGGCACTGTTGTCTATCTGTACTTCCGGGGATATTCCCACCGGAGCCTCGCTTTCGATTTCAAAATGGCGGCTGCGTGAAATCAGCGTATTAATTAAATAACATTAAAATAAATAAATGGGGCTGCACAAGCAATCGAAATAATCCAGATATAGCCTGATATCACTTCCCAAGTGTAACTACAAGTGTAACTTGTAGTGTAAAATTATAGTATTATCACATTAATTTTCATTTTACAGTAAAATTGTACTTTACTACAGTATTGCATTTCTGTCTTCATAATTAGAGGTAAAACTACTAGTACAACTACTAATGTTAATAATAACAATTATTAATCTTAATCTTAAATTTGATTGGGTTTCTAAAAGCACCGGTGTGAATGTAGAGTCCATTTTTAAGTCTGGCTATAAAGTAAAATGTTTATTATATCACAGTTCAAATCGCAATATGACAGAATAAGTGCAATATATAATCTGCAGCCCTTTAAAAAAAACACTTATTAATAAAGACTAAATATTCTATCTGTTTACTTGCATGTCATGTGATCATCAACCAACATCAGAGAAACGTGAGCATGAGAATGTTTTTAAATTATTAATATATTTATGTATGTGTTTTTCGTCTAATGCTGGGTTCAGACTACACGATATTTTTGTCTGTTATGATAGTCAGAATATGCTATTTTGACTCCTGCATTCAAGAAACATTTCAGACTACATGTTGCTGAATCTCGACCAATCAGCGCTTGCCGTCTTTAACGACGTGCGTGATGTCATCCAGAAGGCAGAACTTGCGACTGACTTTTGGAAACACGTAAACAAACAATGGCTACCGACGCAGTGTGTTTTGTACTAAATCCCCCACATTTCTCCATATTCGTATATGGAGCGTATTCATATTTCAGCGTTGTATTGCGCATCATTTTACACCCAAAGTGTGTGCGAACAAAACCGCCAAGTAAATTGAGTTCTTTTTCGATGCTTATTGCGCTTAAACAGTCAAATACACATAAAATAATGCAGGTCTTGGCAAGTATTCACGTAAACACAGTCAGTTATGCTTTAAGTAAACGTAAACAGAGAAAGAAAACTCACGTGTATCAGTATATTAGACCCGTGTGTCAGGTCTTAAAGTGACAGCAGCCTAATAAACCTGCTGCTAAAGTATGAGATAATATTACAAATATCTATATGGCAGTTTTTCCCATGGTATCGATGTCAAAATTGTGCTCACTGAGTGGCTAGTAACTTTAGAAAACCGCTAGCCGCCGTAGCTGTTGAGCAAAAAAGTTAATGACGACACCCTACGTCACATGGATCAATTGAATGTAAGTTTTTGGACTGATATTGTGTAGTCTGAACCTGGCGTAAGGGGTTCGGCTGACCAAAAAGTTTGCGAATCCTTGATTTAAGAAATAAGAAATGAATGCTATATTGTGACTATAGCTACAGCTTTTTGTCCGGCGTCTCTCAGGTTGCTCAGAAAGCACAAGAAACCGAGTCCATCTTGACCGCTGACGTGTCGCCGTTCTCCTCGCAAGGCAAAGGGAATCTCGACCGGAGGAAAAGCTCGAGGCCGATGTCAGAAGGGATGACGGGGGACGACAAATCAGCCAAGCTGGACACTATAGAGGGGATGAAGGTAGGTTTGGAATGATAGTTCACACAAGAAATTATAATTCTGTCACCATCATGTTGCTTTCGCCTGTGAAAAAGCCTCAAATTTCTTTCTTTCTTCCTAGCAAACACATTCTTTGCTGGTCCGCACTTTATCCTTGAGGGCCAGACGGGAAAGCCAGGTCAGCATCTTCAACTTCCGGCCGCCGAACAAAGATTCAGAGGTGGATTTCGCCGACGACGAGTTTAGCAATCACGGAGATTCGGACAGTCGAGGCGGATCACTGGCGCTTCCCTGGAGCCGGAGACGGACCAGCGCTCAAAGCACATGCAGTCACAGCTCCCAGTTCTTCTTCCCAAGCCTCAACATCAACGGCAAACTCTTCGTAGCCATGGACCAGAACGGGGTCTCAGGCCAGGGGCCGCTGTCTCCTCTGCAACTGCCCACCTGCACTATGGAGAAGGTCAAAGAGGAAAGCGTAAGTGACTTTAAAGTAACACTATGTAGTTTTTCAACCTAATATATTTCCAAGACCCTTGTGATGGTACATCGACTTACAATAGGTTAAATGACACGTCTGCCATAGCCTGAAGTGGTCTGTATCGCTTTTACTTGCACTATGTAACTTCGGGTTTCGGGTAGTAACCGGAGCACAAAAAGAACTACAAATTCGACTGCTTTACGGCATGCGTCACATCCCCCATAGTCTCGCGTAGTGTTGTCACGATACTAGAATTTCTAACTTTGATACGATACCTTGAAAAATATCGATATTCGATACCATTTTCGATACCACAGAGAAAAAAACTGCCACAATATTAAGGGGGTATTTTTTTGTATTTAAAGCTAAATATAACAAGTTTAGAACATGACAATGAGGTATATTTTACATGAACAAAAATGTCCCGAGTTCTATTTGTTAATATTTTTTGATTGGACCAGAGCTTTCATGATCCTTTGTATTTTTATTACCTACTGTTATCAAAGATTAAAATATACTGTAACAAAAAAGCACTTAACAGTATCAAATTGGAGGATAGAGTGTCAGTAATGTATAATAATAAGATTAAACATTCAATTTTCAGTTAAAGGCATTTCATTATTGAATTCAGAGATGCCATTGTCTAGCTGTTTAGTTTAATTAGTATCTGTGTAATCAAATTGATGATAATCGCTAATGAAGGAAAATTGCAGAATTAAATAATAATTTTTGAATAAAGTTCAATAGGCACAAGCTAATTTACATTTGACCACAACAATATTTACTTGTCTAAGATTCCTCAGTCAAATTATGTTAACTTTAAGAAAACGGTGAAAATACTAGACAACACAGACTCATATCAACAACAATACTAGGCCATCTTGGTTAATGTTTCAGAAAAGTTAAAATGAGAAGAGTTACAGTGTTTCTTTTAGGATTTTTTTAGCAGTGGGGGCAGGTCTGTCCAAATAACACACACTCCTGATGCTGAGCATATATGCTGCTAAATGGTACCCCTGGAGCCTGTTCCTTAAGTCTGTTTTCACCTATAAAATAATTTTAAAAAATGAGTGATGTTAGGGATTATTGAAAGTCAAACAATCTTTTGGGTGCCCGCAGCCCGCTCACAGTGTGAAGCGCGTGTCCGCGTATTCTCCGACATGCCCGCTCGCGGTGTGTTTTTTATGCGTGTGCGCGCTATTCTCCGACATGCCCGATCGCGGTGTTCTTTATCAATCAACCAAAGCCGGTCGCGGGGGCGCCGCCCTCGCAATCTTTCCATTCACTTCACGTTTGCTATTTAACCAGAGCGAATGAAGACGAGTGCGTCACGTGTGGTGTTTGTCAACGCGCCTTTGGAGAGAAGTGAAAGTGACCGCTCGGCTAGTATCGATACTTCGGGAAATTAGTATTGGTACCGTTCAGATATTTCAGTATCGATATTTATCGAAATATCGATATTTTTGACAACACTAGTCTCGCGTAGCCAGACCTTCAGACTGACGGCTGAAGATCTGGAATTCATAGCAGCTTTCTTTGGCCAAGGCCCGCCCATAAGGCCGTTTGACCGACATGTCAAACAACCAATTACAGTTCGTTTCGTTCAGCGTCACGTTTCGGGGCGTGGAAATGTCCCCACAACAACAGACCTGCGTGCAACAAGTCAGTCAGCATAGAAAATCAAAGAAGGAGAAGAAAACTTCAAGAGTCTATGCCGTGAACCTCGCATACTTTTGAGAATCCTACGTTCAGCTGATCTTGATAAATGCTCATTGTCACTCATGTAAACACAACAGTTTTTCTTCCGCAATCACACGTCTGCGCTTTGTTTCCCGGCGGACCGAAAATAAACGCGACACTCGCGCCCCCCGGAAATCCGATAAAATTCAACCAATCAGATGACGACTTCGACATTCCTGAAGTGTTTCCAGTTAAGTGTACCATATGCATCAGACGTTTAGCCAACGTTCCGTGGGCGTGACGTCTGAGGCTGAGACTACTTCCCCCACCACTTCCTCAAATTGTCTGTGGCCATTGCAGACATCCCAAGTCTCCCGGGAGTCTCCCGCATATTGATAGCGTCTCCCTGATGCCCGCAAATTAGTTCAAATCTCCCGGAATCTAGAGCGCGCATGCGAGACAGAACACACTGCGCGCATAACACACAAAGCGCGCACGGCAGAGAGGGAGAGAGCGAGAGACCTTGCGAGTAGGCTTGGGAATCGGTTCCAGGTTCCGGTTTGGAACCGGTTCCAGACTTCCCGATCCATCGGAATCGTACACGTCCACACGTTAACGATTCCACTAACGATTCCGTTCCATCCATTCCCGCGTCGCGGGATGACGTTACAGTATGCGACTGGATTTTTAAATCCCCCAAAAGCGCGATGGCTACGAGACGTAAACGATCGAGAGTGTGGCTTCATTTTAAATGCAGACCGGGGGAAGCAAATCTGGGCGACACAACCCCTTCCGTCATTTCAGCTCCAATGACGGCATCAAAACAATGGAAGCATGGCGAAGCGGCTCTCCACGGCTCTGCTTTCCTTGGCGAAAAAGTTAAGAAACTCGACGCTATAAGCCCTCAGTACCGAGCCGAGCAGTTCGCACGTGACTTTTATGCAGTGTTTCCCACACATAGACTAATTCGCGGCCACGAAATCAACTCCGGCCGCCACATATTGCGTTTCGTTAATTTTTTTATGCTATTTAAAACACGCAGCGTATTCTTTCCGTTGTATTTCCTTTCCCCGCTCTCCCTCCGTCTCTCTATCACTCACGCGTCTCTCTCTCACACACACACACGCACACACACACACACACACTGCGTCTGTCTGAGGCGCCGGACTGGACAAAAGCGAAGCGAACTCCGCGAGCGACACTGGGCGAGAGAGAGACAGAGTGTGACTTTTATTTAAACTTATATAAACTAATATAATTTATTTTACTGGACAGTTTAAAGCTCATAACCATATTTTGTTGGTTCTTGAAGAGTGCAGTGTCATGTGGCATCATGCAGTATTTGTCCTGAAAAGGCTACTCAGTAAATGTCTGTAATTTAAGGTCATTCCTATTTTATTTGTATACATTTTAATCATTAACTTTAAAAGCACACTCTTTTTATGACTAAAATAACAGTAAAGGGTAAAAAAAAAAACGAATTCCCAAAAATTAAAACGGAAAAAATAAAACGGAATTTGGGAAAAAATAAAACTGATTTCATAGGGCCCTAGATATTGCACACTTGGTTTTCATTCTCTAAAACCACTTTAAATTAGACATTCAAAGCCAACAACTCTCAAAGCCACCCTGTAAGTGTTCATCAAATGGTACAGGAATCGATAAGGAATCGCATCGATCAGCAGACTCGACAATGGCATCGATATCGATAATTTCTTAACGATGCCCATCCCTACTTGCGAGTGTGCCTCACGAAAGCTAGTCAACTCCCCCCCCAGTCACCAAGATATACCTCCCTGAAATGACTTCTTGCTGGTTGGGATGTCTGCCATTGTTGATTCCAAAGCCGGTGCTGGATAAACGGCGAGCGTGCGCGTGCGACCGTAGGCTGCGCTAGGCTAAATTATTTACCACAGCGGTAATGGACAATTCCGCTTCCAACCTGTAGGGCGACCGCAGAGGAAAAGTTCCTTGGTGTTGCTTTAAGCTTCTAATCGAAGTGAGCAGGGCTGGTCAAGGTGGAATCCCTGTAAATTGGAAATGGCATGATTGATTTGTAATGAAGCACATGTGCGAGTCGCTCTGCATCTATAGATCAAGTACCGCTGCGGGAATCTTCTCGTGTTGAGAAATGAGTCAATCTTGTGAAAAAATTAAAATGTAAAAAAAAAAAAAAAAATTAACTCAGAAATTGCTAGTCAGTAGAAACGACTAGCACGTAACAGTGAATTAAATGTTGCATTTTTGAAGTAGAATGACTGAAATAGTATTTTCTTGTAAAAGATCGAGCAGTTTGAAAAAATGACTTTTGACTGATACTTCTTTACACATTTCTACATAACTTGTCAGTACACCGATAAATGGTTTATTTGTAATAATGATAATAATTATGATTATTACATTCTTAATAATGCATATAATGTTTTATCGCTATGGCCTAGTTATTATTTACTTATCATTGTGCTAAAATATCAAATATATGATAACGCTTTTACCCTCACTATCTTTTTGATCAAAAATACAATAAAAATAGTGAAATATTATTCCAATTTAAAATAGCTGTTTTCTATGTGAATATATGTTAAAATTAAATGTATAACCTGTGATCAAAGCTGAATTTTCAGCATCATTACTCCAGTCTTCAGTGTCACATGATCCTTCAGAAATCACTCTAATATGATGATCTGATGCTCAAGAAACAGTTATGATTATTATCAATGTTAAAAAAACATTCATATTTTTGTGGAAACCGTGATACATTTTATTTTTCAGGATTCTTTGATGAATGGAAACTTCAAAAAAGCTATTAATTTCAACCCAGGGATAAAAGTGTTAAAAATACTTAAATGTCTCCTAAACAGCATCATCATCTTCAAAGACTAACACAAGTGCAGAACCGACTGCTGTGTGTGTGTGTGTGTGTGTGTGTTGTTCATATCCTCAGTCCTTCTACAGCTGTCAGTCACATTGATAATATGCATTCCTCTCTTGCCTTTTCTGAGCTGATGTCGACGAGTTCTTTTCTTTTATTGGCCGACTGAAAACATGCTGTGTAATGATTAGTGTTCTGCAAGAACCTCCACCTCTTCTGCTCTTTCCTACGCTCGCAAATGTTCATTTGTCCGCATGTCAAATGGAATAATTCTAATACAAAGACTGAGGTTATTTTAATTTAATAAGTCCAACAGACAATATGGATTTTTGTTGTTGTTGTCTAGACGTTTTGCATTATCAGCTATTAAGCCGAATGTAGCAGTAATCTGATGATGTTTACAGTAAGATTACAGTAAGTTATCAAGAATATTCCATGAAGTGAA